AAAAAATGTCAGTTAAATAGGAGACACACACAGTGATATTTGATATTTGATATAAGTGAAATTAAGTTTATTGGATTTACAGAAAGTGTGCAATAATTGTTTACAATAATTGTTTAATATGGCATTTGAGCATAATAGTCCCATAAATAAAAACAACCCATAATGCTGTTTGAGGATAGCCGTGTAAATGTATGTAGCCTATTTGTTTGTCATTGTTTTAGTCTATGTTGTGTATTTGTTTTCTTTGGTAGGTGTAAACCGGAATTAGTGGAGCGCTGGAGAGAAAGTAGTAGGCACTAGTCTATTCATTAGAGTGCAATACTGTGTGTCCAAAGAGGCTATTAGAGCTAAAATAAAAAAAATTTAAAAAATAAAAAGTGGTTGGACTGAGTTTAAGTGCTATCTGGCACCATCCGGTGGAAGGACGGTGATACTGCAGCAGGTCACTCCCCAGGCCTGGTAGACATAGTTGGAACTCATAATAGATAATAAAAGGAATAAATAAACTGAAACAAGAATAATAAATAAATTCACTAAATACAATTTTAAGAATATATTTTGAGGACTGGATTAAAAAGTTTAAAAAAGTTGGCAGCACGGTAGCATTGTTGCCTCACAGCAAGAAGGTCCTGAGTTCAATTCCACCATCAGGCCAGTCTCTTTCTGTGTGGAGTTTGCATGTTCTTCCCGTGTTTGCGGGGCTTCCTCCCACCATCCAAAGACATACATGTTGTGGGGATAGGTTAATTGAAAAGTCTAAATTGCCCCTAGGTGTGAATGTGAGTGCGAATGGTTGTCTGTCCCTGTGTGTTAGCCCTGCGACAGACTGGCAACCTGTCCAGGGTGTACCCTGCTTCTCGCCCTATGACAGCTGGGATAGGCTCCCACGACCCTGAAAAGGATAAGCAGATGGATGGATTAAAAAGTTTTAATTGATTGATTAACAAAGACAGAGTAATGACAAAGCAAAAGCAAAGACTGACAATTTTTTTTAAAAGTAATGAAAGAAAGAACCTGAAAATAAGAAGAAGAAGAATAAACAAAGGTGAAGGTGAAATAAGTAATAACAAATTAAAATCAGGAAATATATAGACAAGCAACAAAATAAATAAGATTTAAATTAAAAAATATATATTTATATAGAAAGAACATAACATCAAGACAAAATAAATTCGAGAATCTGAACCACAAGAAACATAAAAGAGAAATTACAATGGCAACATTCAAAGAAGAAGAACCAGCACCACCCAGCAAATTGAGACAGACTTTGTAAAGAACCAAATACTGGAAGGGGAAATCAAGAAGAAGAAATGGGCAAAATTTGAAGAAAAAAAAAATGCCTCGATGAAATATGGACAATGTGGGGAAAAGGATGATTTTTTGTGTGCAACAAACTGAACACAAAACAGTTTGTGTGTTTGAGCTGATAGAAACACTGTATTTTAAATTACCTATAAAAAAAAGCATGTTATTTCGGGGGCGATCGTGGCTCAAGTTGAGTTGGGAGTTCGCCTTGTAAATCGGAGGTTGCCGGTTCGAGCCCCGGCTTGGACAGTCTCAGTCGTTGTGTCCTTGGGCAAGACACTTCACCCGTTCCCTACAGGTGGTGGTCAGAGGGCCCGGTGGCGCCTCTGTCAGTGTGCCCCAGGGTGGCTGTGACTACAATGTAGCTTGCCATCAATAGTGTGGGAATGACTGGATGTGTAAAGCGCTTTGGGGTCCTTAGGGACTGGTAAAGTGCTATACAAATACAGGCCATTTACCATTCTTTATGTTAACTCCTGTACTGTAGGGCTAGCTAGATGGTGAAGTACCGCAACTGTTACTTATGGTCACCGGTGGTCATTCCCGTGCAGTGCCAAAAAAAAAAAAAAACCCCACACACACAAAAAAGACTCACTTTAACCCCTGACTATGGCACAGTCTTTTTATGCAACATGATTAATACATATGGACAGTCTTTCATGTTTTACTGTTTAGGCATATAATGAGTTTGATGTTTGAGGACTCGCAGTGATGTAAAATAATAACTCCCTCAAATCCATTAAACCAAAAGTAACAAGCCCATTTTGAAAATGTAAGGAGTAGAAAATACAGATATTTGTTTAAAAATGTAGGGAGTAAAATTAAAAAACTGTCAAAAAAACTAGTAAAGTACTGAAAATTCTACTTAAGTACACTAATAAAGTATTTTTACTTCATTACTTCCCACCTCTGCCTACAGTAAGCTAAGAGATCAAAGGTTTGTCAGGCCGGGTGGGCTCTTTTCTTTACTTGCTTCAACTTTCCCATCACTTACAGACCCAGATTGCATAATATAAATATAAATATAAATATAAATATAAATA